TTATATAATTTCGAGTTACTAAAATTAATCAGGTAACTAAATTTGTTAATAGAACGTGGTTGATACTATTAATTCATTTTGTTTTAAACATAATATTAATAAATAATAAAATCAAATGATCTTCTTTATTTAGATACAGAAATAACTATAAAAGTTTAATTAAAATATATAGTTATCGTTAGTACGATCAAAAATTTCCAAAAAGCGCAAACCATTATTCTGTTTTTTTACAATTCTTCCTGTATACATAGTAAATTTATTCTTGGTTATGTAAAAAAAAATGTATTAAATACCAATATTCAATTTAATTTTAACGTAATTAAATTTAAAATTTAATCATGCATAAAATATTATTTTTCTAATGAAATCTCTCTGATCCGAGACATGTATTTAAAAACAATCGAGTTGAAAAATTGGGTCTGCGAATATAATGATTTTCAAATGAACAATCTTATTTTACCTTTATTGTCGAATGATATATTTTCTGAACATAATACACGATAGCAGCCACCGACGGTGGTCTAGAAATCAAGTACATACCGTACTTGAAATGGCGTGGAATGTGCTGGAAGAGGTTATCCCTGTAGCAACAGCAAATAATCTGATAAAGTAAGAGTTCATTTTGTAGAGCTGCGTCACTTGTATCTGCAGACATTCTCTAAACATTAATCCAAGAACTCATTAAAAGTAATTTATTTTTTAAAATTTAATATAGGCACTGTAGTGAATTTCTTAAAATAACAATAATAACGTATTAAAATAATCGAAATATTGATGGAATTCAATGTTTGAATTTTTTTTTTTAATTTTAAATAAATAAAAACCAATATTACTAGATATTACTAGATATTTCTATTAAAGTGTATTAGACATTAATTTATGTAAATATGTATTAGTTATTTAATTGATAAAACTGTGATAAAACACTTAATTGGTGAATTAAATTAATTTGACCATTTTGCATTTAGTATAGAAAATAAATGATATTGTGTTGAATTATCACATAACAATTATAACTATGAGAAGATCATGCGTTTGATATTTAGAAAAAACAATGAGAGATAATAATAAACAATTAATTAAGGTATTTAATAACAATTAACAAAAATTTTACCATAAAATTGTCGTCTAACAATTAAATATTGTTGTTCATAACCACAACTATAATGGCTCAAAGTTATAAAGCTAGTCATTAATATAATTTAATATTGATAAATTCGGTTTATTAAATTTTTTGATTTAAATACATTAATATTTCGTAATTTGTATTGCATACTTTTTAAAATTTTTGTTCATTGAGACGATCCCGAGATATATTTTGTTAATGATTATCACTTATCACGTATTATGTATATTACTTATACCTATTATATATTTTATACATAATATGTTACATCTCCACTAAAATGAATTATAACTATATAAGATACTCCTAGTGTAGTATGAAAACTAGCTGAATCGAGTGAATCGAATCTCACATTTTTACATTTTTTCATGATTCGCTTAAATTAATGACCACGTGCACCGTGTGTAATTGCTATGCTACACGGTTAGTGGTACATTTTCTGCATACACATTGGTGCTAAACGGTGTTTTAAACAAATAAAAAATTATTGTTGTCATTACTTTTTTCAAAACTTAAGTTTAACTGTGCGTGTAATGATGAAAAGAAACGAATTTAATTTTTAAATCAAATCGCCACGGTATTGCGGGGAAATGGGACTCGCACCTATCATAATGCGCACACACGTAGACGACTTAATTTAAGTGAACTTTTAACTAAGTGTTCAACGTGATGCAAATGAAAACCAAGTGGTACTTTATATCTCTCGTTTGAAGACTTCAAAAAAAATATGGTCATTGTCACGTTATTTTTGAAATAATATCAATTCTGTACATTAAAAAAACTATAACGTAGAATAACACAAATGGCGCGAAATCTTACAATGCCAGATAAAAAATACACGTAACCACTGCAACTGCTCGCCAAAATGAATTTAAGATGCAAAAAAAAATCACTCAACAAATTCCTGATTAAAATCAAAAGATTACCCAGCTAGACGCGCTTTATTGAAAGTAAACCACCAAACTAAACTTTAACATTTTTCTCGTTGGAAATTAAATGTTTTGAATTAAAAACATGTATAAATATAAATATATATATGTATATATATGTTACGATTCGTGAAAAATAAGGACGTATCAATTACAAGGTGGTGTAAGTATATATTTATTAAAGCAACACAATAACACCAAATTGTTCGTACCAATGACATACAGAACGACGTTGAAAAAACTGCAACTCGACAGACGTCTGCACTCCGCGTGATAAGAGTACACGCCGTGATATATAACATTTTTATTGTGGTGCGAAAACACAAAATACACTAATACCGGGCTTGGTATATAAAATAAAAGCGGCGGAGGTGAAAAAATAAAACAAATAAAAGAGACGAAAAAGCCTAACGGCGCAGACACGAGCACCCGCCGCCACACGCATTTATTTTATTATATACGATTGTATATTATTTCTCGTATATACATTTTATTACGATTGAAAAGGGAGTTTTTGGCGTGAAAAGGAGCGGAGTCGCGTAGCCGAGTCCACGTCGTCGGCGGCGTGTTTTACGTTCGATTGAATCAATTAGTTTTCAATCCCTTGTTTTTGCCCGACAACAACAAAAGGCTTACGGCGGCGGCGAAAAATAATACAATAATAATAACGAGACCGTTTCGTGTCCGTTTCCGTTGTCGTCACCGCTGCCGCCGTCAACGTTTTCATGTCATGTATACATATATATATATATATAAATTATATATATATATATAATACACATCCGACGCCGCGTGGACAATAATTGCTCATGTTGTTATTTCGCCGGAAAAGCGGTCCGTGACGATATCGTTACGAAGCTTATTCCGCTATCTCATCCCTTTTGCCGAAACCTGCGCGGTCCCGAACAAAATATTTTACGGCGTGTTTGTGTGTTGTCAATAATATGCACCGCGAGTTGTACATAATAATATAATATTTATACGTAATATGCACAGTGCATGCTTAAACAATGTTAGTAGCGCAGATAATCTCGAGTTGTACACACATAATAGGTATACATTGCTGTGCAAGGATTATAGGCCAAAATATCGAAAAAATAAAGATGAAAAGAAAAATAGCGAAACCAAAATAGCGAAAAAAATAAAAGCAAAGTTTATATAATTACGAAATCAAAAATAGCGAAAAAATATTTTATAATAAGTACAAGTATAAAAATATAATATAAAAAAATATTCACAAAATCATAGTTACATTTGTAAAGTTAAGTTGTAAGCGATACCTTTTAAATAATTAATGTTGTCGTTAGTATTGTAGGATAAGGTTAAATTACGTATTTTTTCTGAACAATCTTTATATTTTTTTTTTTGATGTTTTTTGGCACCAGCAATGAACTGTTCCTGTTTAATGTCCTCTAAATGTTGTTGATCTTTTAACACATCGATAAATGTCCATAATGTTGGATGATATGCACCTTAAAAAGTTAATATTACATTATACATTGATACATTAAATACATTGAATTAAATTATAAATTTAATAAAATATTTTAAAAAACTAACCAAGTAATGAACTGAAACCTCTATGCCAACCCTCTACTGCATTGTTAGTCCTTGGCAATAAAGTACTTGCTGATTCGTAACAATTCCATAAACTTATTGAATACTTTGGTAATCTACGACCTTTTCTTCGACCCATTGGACGGCCTACCCAGGTGTCTTCAAAGTAGTCAATAAGTGGTTGCAAAATTTTTTCGTTATCTGTGTAGTATTGTGAATCTATTAATTCTTCAAACGCATCTATCACATGATTTTCTGGTACATATGCTAATGCTAATAAGAGCCGTATCTGTAATGCAAATGTCGAATCTGATATATATTTTTGGGCCATATATTGAATTTGTTGTATTTTACGCCAAATACATTGGGAAAAATGGAAATGGCATCCTTTTTGTTTTACATTTGGAAATACTTCTTTAAATGCATTAATTGATGCCATTTCAAAATCTGACATAATTAATTTTGGTGATAAAGTTGATTTAATTTTTTTTAATTGATTAAGGAGGTGTACATATGTTTTTTGTGATTTATTTGGTAATAAAGCGTAAACAGCAGGTATCAACGAATTGGTTGTCAATACATGTATTGTGTAAATTTGAGTAAAAAGTGTCGGAGTGCACTTAAATGTACCATCAACGAACCAATTATTACATTTTCCCATTAATTCTAGATTTTGTCTAGTAAAAAATATTAAAATACGTTCATCTGATGGACCGCTATCGTACTGCATGAATTGCTTTCCATCTTTAGTTAAAGTATACCTTTCAGGTATTTGGAGGTTAAAAAGTGACTGAGGATTCGGCGGTGCGCAATCATTACGTTGTCGTACTCTTCTTAACGTGTGTTTTAAATTAGATATTTCGGGTAATGCACCTGATATCATTGGATTTAATTGCGATGAAGCGATTATTTGTTGAGGGTTATCTTGTGACGACAATGATTGGGATTTCATTCTCTCGACTTCTTTTTTTACTTCTAACTTGCATATATCTGGAACGTGGTTATGCTCTGAAGGCTCTTTTTTAATTTTATTATCACTTGTAGTTGTTAATCGACCTTTACATTGCATATCTATACATTTCCAATACTTCGATTCCTTGTATATTTTTTCCTCTCTATAAGCATAACTATAATACACGAGTAAAAGTTTATTTTTATTAGATTTAATAAATTCCATAACTTAAAAATCAAATTTTTAAAAAATACAGTTTAAATAGAATATAAGAAATAAAATAATAAGCACAACACTTAGTCAACGATTGTCACGATGTCGAACGTCGTACAAAACTATTTGATGTCCATATAGTATAGGATACGATAGGTATACGATGTACACTATTCACGATAAAAGCGATAACGGATATTACCTTGAGTCACAATAATAATGACTGACTAATAAAGATTATATTATTATCTATAGTTTTCCCCTATTCTCTGTTTAATATTAACTATAAAAACAAGAGTTTCCCCTAAACATTCGATATATTATTTTTCGCCATAATTTAGTTTCGTTATTTTTATTTTCGAAATTTTTAATTCGCTATTTTTCCATTCACTATTTTTTTTTCGCTTTTTTGGCCGGTTACCCTGTGCAAGACTAGTATAAATATAGTATAATAATATTGTATAGGAAGGTACTGCGTGTGCAGTTTGTGTTTACAGCGGTATCGGCCGTAGGTATAGGAGTAGGCGCGTTTTATGATGCAGAAGACTTTGCGAAGTTTGTTTTGCGCCACAACAATAATAATAATAAGTAATTAATAACAATAAAAAAACAAATTGATAACATTTAGTTTGTGTTGGATCTCGGTCCGTGAATTTATGTGAATTTATATTTTGATGTTTCTATAATCCGAATTGTTCAATTTTTTTTTCTTTTTAATAATAATTGACGTCACCAGCCGCTAGTAGAAATATTGACTATTTTACTAAAAGATAAAAAAAGAGAGAGCAGGCAAGTAAGTAAGTACAGTAAATTTCGATTTTACCGAGCCATTGAGTAGATTATAGTAATAGCTGATTATTGACGGATACTCGAATTTAAAGATGAATTATTGTTATTCGTTGAAAAACGGTTCTGAGTTGAGACGGTTTGTTAGCCTATATGTTACTAAGTGCTTAAGTATATTTTATTCCACCTTAATTTTGGTATTAAAATAATTTATTTTACAATTTGTTCCACTGCAGTATTAGATTTATATTATTAACTTATTATAATAGTATCATGTATATTTTTTTATTTAATTTAAATTTCTGTATAAACAACTCATGTCGTGAAGTCTTGTAATAAATTTCAAACTTTTTAATCGAGCGTATAATTCAATGAAATTTATGGAAAAAAATCCAAATTTTTATGGATTGCTCAAAAGAAATGTCAAAATATTTTTAAAACTATGCCAAAGTGTAAAAAAAAATTCAATACTAAAAATGTAAAAATTTTATATACTTATACTGTTATTCGTTTTTGAACAAAAACTTAATAAGAAAATGCATTTTGTCAAAATAAAGAACATTTCTTACTTTTAAGTTTTTGACCTTTCTGAAGTACCCAACTAAATCCACTTTGCTATCAAGATAGTGGAGTATTTTTATTGCTCCAAAAAGCAAAGACAGTCACGAAAAAATACACACACACATCATTGTATAATCAATAATCCATTTCATTTAGGATTTAAAATTACTTGTTACAGATCGAAATCTTATTGATATAAACTCATTACCGCAATAACATGTCCTGATGTGATGTGATTAAATATTTTATTTCAGTAACTAGTGACGAAATCAAATTATAAAATATAGATAAGTGGGTAAAATGAAATATATACCTAAAATAGTAAAATAAAATAGCAAAGTTGAAGAGCTCGCAGAAATTAATTTATTAGAAAGAAAAAGCAAGCATATTTCTTACATAATACATTTAATTTTAAACACATACCTACCTAATGGAGAAATTATCGAGGAGCTTTAGAGATATGAATAAGGAATATTAAGAGACCAAATTGAGTATTCTTTGGTTTCTACGTTGTCTGTCATTCCTGTATAAAATTGTATTGAGCAAATACTTATAAGGTTTAATAATCTCATGTTATATATGTAAACTGTGAAGGGATTAACCATAATTATAACTTATTTATATTAAAACTTAGAACTATCTCATTTTGATAATATATATTAGTATATTAGGTATGTTTTTATGATGAGGTACATTGACGTTTTGACAGTGAAAACTACCTAAGCTACCTTGGTATATGGAAATACATATGTAGTTACTAAAAATATTGATCAGCTTTGTAGAAAATTGTTTTTTTTTTTTAGGTATGATCTGAAAAAATGTATATTGTATTATAATATAATACAATCTAAAATAATAATGCTATAGAAATAATTTCATGTACATCATAGCACGCGTTACATATTATATTATTATACAACAAATCACAACTATATTATTACTATATTGTAACTCGTAAGCGTATAATACGATATTTGTCAAGAAAGCATTAAAGCGATCTTAAGAAATATGTGTACTATAATGTATACATGCATAAAATATAATAATGCATCTATGGAGATTAGAGATCACTGCGGGAATAGATGCGTGTCATCCGGTTATATAGGGTATATATTATGCGTGTAATTAACGTAATACTTCCGGAGCATAAAAAACACATCCCATGCTTATAAATTATATTTCCAAAACGAAATCGCTTGACAACGGTCAATGAGTTTGAGAAGATTTCTGGTTGGTGTTTGATAAGGGACTGCTATAATAATACTACATATAAAAAATAATTTATATTTTAAATACCATTTGTTTATCTATACATTAATTCCTATTATTTCCGCAATAAACTAGCAGCTATTGTTAGGTACTATACGATATGGGACTATTTACGGAAACGTGTGTTGTGTAATATTGACATAATATAGTTTTTGATTTTCGCTGATTATCGAGTGTTCAAACTCGTTTCATCGTTGTTTAATGAAAAACAAAGAACGAAGTCGAGAAAACGCACGGAAAATTATTACGATTTTAATAAACTACGTACCGTCATAACTCTCCATAATCGTATTTGATTCGTAAAACATCGAAACCGACAGTGAAAGAAAATAAAAATCAAACACAAGTATCTACCGAACAAAAACCGAATGCAAGACGTATAATATTATTATCGTCCATCTCTAATAATATTATTATAGATCATCGTGTATAATATAGCATATACACAATCAAAAAATACGTTGTACACAATATCATTGGGCGTAGAGACGGGGCAATCCTCCGATGACACATCCGCTGTGCCGTGCGCATATATAATATAATATACAATATATACATATTATATAATATTATATACGTATATATATATATATATAGGTGTATAACTGTTGTGTTACGATATTGTATATATATATATATATATATATTATTATTTTTATCGTACACAATAACGAGTATATGTAGTGCGACTGCGGGGTTACAAAAGCGATATAATATGCGCTAGTCCTGCAGGAGTGCAGGACGGGCGGCCCGCCGTCGACCGTACAGCGCGTACACACGGGCGCGTATAGGTACGCGCGCACGCACTGGCGGCTGTAATAGCTCCGACGTGGAAATGACGGCGCACGTTTCGGCGGACGTGCCTTGTACAATACGATTTAAACGCGCGCAGCAACACGAAACGACCGCCGCGGTCTCGCACATAATATAATATATTATACGCCGTCGTTATTGTTATTATTATTATTATTTTTTTTTTTTTTTTTTTTTTTTATGAAAGTGCGCTACAATATAATATTGTATTATGTTATACGCACACGCGAGCTGCTATGATGTAATAATAAAGGCACCACCACTTGATTAGAGCAAATTGAACGAGTGTACAAACGTCGTGCTCGTGCAGTATAACATAATATTATATTATAACGTATATACGTGCGGTGTATGCGCTGCAGGTTATACAGCGCGCACGAACCACCGTCCGGCTCTTGCGCGCGCTTCGAATACAAAAGTAATACTTTGTGTGTGTGTGTGAGGGTTTTCGTCCACTAAAGCACGTACGAGCAGCGGAGATAGGCGTTTAAACGGGAGGAAAAACCGCGGCTCGACCGGGGCGAGAGGGCGACCGACTACTTCGTTAACACGACGACATAATAATAATAATAATAATAATCTCTTAAATCATCTGCAGGGCGCTACGTATCTCGCTCTCGAGACTGCACTCTGCGCACCGGATATGCCGCTACGCCAATAATATCATATACGCGAGTAAACTGTGTACTCATAATATATTGATAATGATTTTATAAATCGGAGAGTTCGATACGCGTTTCGTCAAACGTGCAGCGCACACCGTTTACACGATATAATATACACACGATGTGTTGTAGGGACCGCCGTAAATGTGGGCAACGAGAAGAAGATTTAAAAATATAGGTCCGAAGAAAAACATTTGATTTTTCTGCCATGCCCGAACGGAGGAAATATGGTAATAATAATAGTATTGTCGTTGTATTCGATTTGACAGCTGTAAGTAGGAGGTATACATTGCTGCAGATGAGAATACACCGTACGTACCTATAATAAATACGCTTGACGCGCAGTTGTGTGCACGCGGAAAACAGTAGGTATCGATGCTCTCGTCACGTTTGCCGTGTTAATACAAAAAGTATCTGACGTCCAAATATATAGACGGTTCGCCTTCGTATCTGGCCATTGCGCTCGCCGGCCGAGAAAGCAGTGGAGTCACAAAAGGCTTCTCTGCCACAGCCGACTCGAGTTCGAAACGATCGTTCTACAATACTGCAAATACGATGAAAAAATGGAGTAGGTACCTATATGTCATTTGGAAACAGAGTCGCTATACGGATTAATAATAATATTTGCTCAAATCGAGTAATATGTGTTCAATATTATTCATATACGAGTCGAATTTAAAATTTGTACATATCAAAACCGACACCTAAAAATAGGTTGTACTTATACACAGCATTACAATACATCGAATCATTAAGTATATTTTATTAGAATCAATTCCATTTATTTCCAAACTTAGGTAAATCCGTTCGTCGTTCGACTTGAAATATTTCGTGTGAACGCTATTCTCGCAACAATTAATGTAATAACGTAATCGTATTTTGCAGGGACCGCAGCAGGCTAAATTCTATTAAATTGTTATGGGTGCCTATAAGACGCTAGAGTACTCGCTAATAATTCGCGCTGGTAACGACATAAATTTCGCAGTTATCTTCTAATGAA